GTTTACTCTATTGCTCCTTATGATCTTTCATAAAAGAATCAGTATATTCTAGCTCTTTCTTAAGACGTGGAACTCGAATATGATGATAACTTGGAGCTGAAAAATTTGGACCAAAGGCACCAACAACTGTGAGCATTTCTTGAAAGCTCTTCAGTTTAACAAAGTTAAAGTAAAGGCCAGCTTGATACCAAAATTGAGCTATGCCTTAACTTCTTTCTCACATCATTCTCTTATATTTATTTGTCTTAATTTTTCTTTTTTCTTTTCCCAATGGCACTTTCTGGATTTCTACAAAACAAGTCCATTTGCCCTTTCTGATTTCCAATGGCAATGTTACGGGTTTGGGTTTCCTCTTCATCCTCACTTTCATCATAGCTTATACATTCAAAGCTTCTCACATTTGGCATCTCAAAATTATTTTGACTCTTTTTTTTCTTTTGATATGTCTCAATCTCTTTTCTAACTTCTTCTGGACACTTAGGATAAGCTTTCATGTTACTCTTCTTTCTAATTAAATGTTGTTTCACTCTAGTGCTTCCAGCACTCATAACTTTTTCACAAAAGTTACATACAATATTGTTTATATCTCCATCTTTCACCAAATGAACATATTTCCATCCTGGGTTAGAACAATTAGAAGTTCTTGAACAATTTGATGAAGAATCATGTTAAGCCATGTTAAGGGTAGCAAAAAAATAAAGAGAATTTTTTTTTTTTAGGAAAATCAAAGAAAAAATAGAGATGTGGGAGAGGCAGAAATTGAAAGATGGAAAGGGTAAAACTTAAATGAGAGAAATAAAGAAAAAATTGAGAGGAAAAATGAAAAAAATAGCTACTGAAAAAAATGGAGTCATTGGAGATGGAGGTGCAGTTGCTGAAAATGAAGGTTAGAGTCGCTGGAGATGCAGGTGCAATCACCAAAAATAGAGACAGAACTGCACAAAAACAAAAACCCAAGGAGCCCAAGACAAAGAGATCTTAGCAGAGAAAGATCTCAACGAGAGCAGAGAGAGATGTCGCAAAGAGAGAGTGAAGTCTCGATAGAGAGCAAAGAGAAAAGAGATGAACAGAGAGCAGAGTGAGATTGCAGAGAGAGGGAGAGTGAGATTGTAAAGAGAAGAAAGGAAAAAACCTAGATTTAGGGTTGGGTATCTGAACCGGGTCAGGTCTAGTCCAAAATTGCAAAAAAAAACCCTATTTTTAACCAAAAAAAATGACATATCCACCATTTCTGCCATGGCCAGCCGTTACCGCCATGCTCATAACGGCCGCCATGGTACCGCCATGCATTTCTACGACGCCACGCCATAGCCGTAATGGCCTCCGTCAGCAGCACCATGCCATTCTGCCATGGTGCAGCCATAACCGATTTTTAAAACACTAATCACTAAACCTTTCTGTCGTCACTTAGAGCTTTAATGATTTCCTAAAACTACAATGTTAAAAATAGATTCTTGGGCATGAAAACCTACTATTTGCTTCTGGAACTACCCAAACAAAATTTCATCATAAAATTTATGAATAAAACATGTTTTTAAGAAGTTCTTACAATTTTTCTATTGATTACTATGTATGTACAGTTGAAATTATAAATTATTATCTTGACCAATATGTACTGGAGAAAGAACTAAACTTTAGGATAAATTATTTTTATTAAAGACCAAAAGAGTGTGATCTTTGGCAATGTAACTATCGTGATTTAATTCCAATATGTTTTAGATTGGAGCTAAGTCTAGAGGTGTTCAACCTTTAGCAAAATTGTTTAATTATTTAATTACAATTCAATGAAACATTATTATGATTGTGTATTATTGTGAATGTGAAATTGATCGTATGTAAGAGAAAATTGGAATGATTGTTGGTGTGAATATTTGAGAATATTTGAAAATGATTGAATGTGAAAGAAAACCATGAAAATATAATTGTTGAGAAAATGGTATATCATGGAAAACTGATGAAAATATGTGCAAATAGTGATAGAGATACACTGGGAGTGTGGAAGACGGAATAGATTTTGGAAAAACTTGAAGAAATGTAGGGTGATGAATGATTCCCTTTAAATTGCACACAAATTGATGAAAATAAAAGCATCACATGTCTCACACTAATTTCCTGACTTATATTCATGACCATATTTTTGCTGAAAGGGGGCCGAGTTGGTAATACGTTGTATCCGTATTGCTACGGTTAACTAGCAACTATTTATACTATGAAGATCTCAAGGGATTCCAAGGGTAATGAATATGTAATTATGATATTTGTGTTATAATACAATGATCTTGTGATTATAATACATGTGTTGTAATAGATTGATTGATGTGATTATACTACAGGTATTGTAATACATCGATAAGCGTAATTATAATGCATAGATTAATATGATTAGAACTCACGTATTGTAACATATTGATTGATGTAAGAATGTACGAATGACATGGTCTTATCTGCTATAAATTCATTAATATAATCTGAAAACTAATATTATTTTGATGTATATTGTATTTAAAAATGTTTCTATATTACTTGTTTTATTTATAAAATAAAAGATTTAGTGAGGCACTGAATATTCACATTTACAACCATTTTCAAGAATTGAAATGAATGTTGATCCATTTTAGGATCATATTCTTTTGGTGTTGCAAGAGAAAATATGCTCTGTTAAAATTCAAATTGTATTAAGGTTGTAGTAATTTTGATTAAGTCCTAGTTAAAAATTGATTTTGGTATGTAAATAATTTATCGTCAAATTTAAATACTTAAAAAGTTTGATAAAGTTTACTGTAAATAATAATTTAAATTAATTTATAATATTTAGTTAATTCTCTCAATCTTATTTTTTTAATGTTAAATTTAAATTGTGAAGATACATTTCTATGTTATGAGTGAGATTTATCCGTAAAGTATTATAATTTTAATAATTTCTATTGTTTTAAGATTTAAATTAATATACACATTTCCTAATTCATCTAAAATGTTACTTATTTTAATTAAGTTATATTAAAATTTGTGAATAAAAATAAAATAAAGATGTTATAAGTTGCAGTATAAATTTAATTATTAAAATACAATTTATTATTTGTTATTTTTAATATTTTTATAAAATTTTGTGAAAGGATTTATTTACAAAAGTTTTTAATTTTATCATATTTTTATATAACTTGTTTTTATGAATATTTTATTTTATTTTTTTTATTTTATCATAATTTATTATATAAATTGAATAGAAATTAAGGATGTAACAATATTTCTTCCCTTTTTGTGTGCTCCTATGCCCTTGTGAATTAGCGCCACAGGTTGACGATTTCTGGAGTAATTCTTGCATCGTTTGCATCAAACGATTCACTGAGGGTTTGCTGCATTGTACTTGCGACCTCCATCAAATGATTCTCCATGTGGTGGGCGAGTCGGGATTCCACACGATCTTCCACACTTTCATCGTTGTTTAGCTCCTCGTCGATTCTGCCATGGAAGGTCCAAGCTGATACAAGTTGATATGGTTGTCATAATAGCATTAGAAATTTCACAAAATCAAAGAACTATGAGAATGAATAGGGAAACCTAATAAGAAGAAAGGATTCAAAATTCTATTATTCAGAACTGAGGTACAAGACAAAAATGAATGATTATTCTAATTATTCTTTTATTTTCTCTATACGTAGCTGTAGCTGAAGAGTAACTAACACAATGCACTCTCAACCAATACAATTGGGTAGGCTCATATATTATTTATAATTCGCTATTTACCCTTTCTCTCCTGTTATAGAGCTACTACTAGATGATCAAGCAATGCACATATCACCATATACTTTAAAAGGAGAACACTACAAATTAGAGGTACAATCAAAAAGTAAGAAATTATGTTCTTAATGGACATAGGGAGCACACAATTTCTTGAGAAATATGTGGGTGAAGTCACTTAGTTAAAATGACAAGTAATGCTATATGTCATTGTCTCTTTATGCTCTGTTTGAATTCATGTTGAGGAGGGGAGAAGAAGAGAAAAGTTAGTAATCACTTACTATTGTTTTGAAGGTAATTAAATATGAAGGAAAAGGTTTAAAGTATTTTTTAAAATTTTAAAACCTTCTTAACTCTTTTTTTTTGAATTTTCCTATTTTAAAAAGTTTTAGTGATTCATATAGTGAGTTTATCATTTATATTTCTATTTGATAAATTAAATATTTAACATAGTTTAGAGCTAAATAGCAAGAAAATAAAAAATTAAAAAATATATTTTTTCAAAAAAATATTTGCTTTTAGAGTAAAATTTTTTCAAAAAAATTAAAAAAATATTACTTTTTAGAGAGAAAAAATATTAGTTTATATTTTTTAAATAAAAATATATAAGTAAAAAATATAAAAAGATAATAATGTCATTTACATATTAAATCCTCTAATACCCTTCTCTTGCAATAGTTAAACTCTCCTTCCCCTCCTAAATCATTTAAACAATCATTATAGACTAATCTTAACACATTGATTTTATTTTTATTCTTTGAATTTGAGTATAGACATTGATAATATTGGCGTTGTGGAGCATATTCATAAATCTATTGTTGTACAGGGGTGTAAGATATTAAAGATAGTTGATTTCTCTTTCCTTTTCGTTTAAAGGATCAAAATATGGAAAATTTTGTTGACTCTCAGATTACCACGTAATTCTCAAGCAATGAAAATCCTATCTACAAACAATTTGTATTTTAACTAACTTCTTGAAAGGTTATCACGACAGTTACACGATGACTAACTAATGATTGTTCAGCTACAGTTAAACAATTTGTATTAATTTGTTGTTTTTATATGCCTCAAATGAAAAGATACAGATAAAATATGTTTTAGGTTTATAATAACGCAAAATAGGTTTTAATATCGAATCACATATTCGGAAACTACGAAATATGTGATTCGCACATTTAAAGATCTTAAAAATTTAGCCCGACATTTTCTAATCTAATTTTTTATGTCGATTTTTTACTTTTTTATTTTTTTTAGGTCTTTGGGAGAGGGTGATTGGGCGACTGGGGAGGGAGCTTTTTCTTTTACACTGTTTTTGTGCCTATCGTTTTGCGGCCTTGCATTTCCAAACTCTGAGAATCCAAAACACCAAAGAGCCTGGCCCAGCAAGCAATACAGGAATACCAAAACACTTGCAAGGAAAACCTTACGCGGCATGTATCTAAGCACTTGTTTGAATTCACGTTAAAATGCTATAAAATTATGTTTATTACATCTTTCATTTACCTAACAAGTATAATTTATTATTTTACTAACAGTTAAATATAAGTTAATTGAAAATTACACTAAAAAAATCCTTATATATATTATAATTTTGAACAAAAATTAGATCACTTTAAACTTACTTTTAAATAAAATTAATAAACACACTCAACCAGTTTGAATGTTGATAATACCATTTTCCCTTTACTTTGATATCAATATTAAATCTTTGTTAATTCAAAACAAATTATTTCAATTGAATTATTTTTAAAATTTCCTAGTAATAAAATAGTTTTTTTTTATTCCTCAGTTTTCCCGTTTAATACAAATTTTGCTCACATTTAACCAGCTTTTTAACTCCTACAATTTCATCTGGGTGAATAAACCAGAAACGACAAACTCATTGTTTTTTTTTTTCAAATTATCCGCTCCAATTCATGTTTTTTTGTTTTACATTCACCTTGTTATAAGACAAGGGAGAGGAGTCGAAAAGGACTTGCCAAGTGCCTTGACTTTATGTAAATAGATGTTTGAAAAAGTGACGTTTACCCAATATCAGAAGTAACTAAGTATTTACCGAAAAAGAAGTAACATTGAACCCAAAAAAGAGTAGCATTAAGTGTAATTTTATACAGGTTTGGTGCTAAACCAGATATCACAATAGAATGTCCAAGTTGACAACGTAGTTCTGTTCATTCACAGCTATAGGAAAAGCTACAACTGCTGATGTTCTTTCCTTTCCGTTTCTTGTTTTTCTGGGAGGCAGGGGCTTTACTGATGATGAGTTCACGATAGAAGAGAGACAAGAGAAACAAACTCCAGGGTGACTCTGCCCTTGGACCTTGTATTGATGACAAAATGTTCAGGGTACTTCCTTAATAGCATAAGCAAGCCATACCAAGGCTTCCCTTTAGATTCAGGACCAGGCCAATCTTCTGACGTTAGATATCTCCTTACTCTACTGTGGTGCCAAACAGTGCTATATTGCTCCAACAACTAAACAATAATAAAGTTATGAATTCAGAATTATATGGGTAGGTTTCTGTATCTTACCAAACGCATTTTATATGCATCATGATGGATTTTAAGCTTATATTAGGGTAATATGGTGCCATTCCAGTCTACCTACTCAACAACAACTAGTGGATGTTTTAAGTTTGTACTACTCTATAACTACCCAGAGGCATTCCCTTCACTATTTTCCACATTCTGGCTTGGCTTTACACCTATTTGAATGTTATCAAGCATCAATAGTGCCGCCATGCCGTTTTCACGTATGAGGGGTAAACTAAAAATTGAAAACATACATAAGAAAAATAACTTCAAATCACTACAAACAATTAAATAAATTTAAATTGAAATAATATAACAAGGTTATATAAAACATATATGACACAACTTAAGCTAAAGTAGTAACAACTCCCAGGTACAGAACACCAAGTTTTTGACTAGTGACAAGACAACAGAAACAGAGGATGCTGTCCATAGAAGGAAAACACTAACGTATAAAAGAACAGACAGATAGAAGAACAGCAGTAGAATCAACACCCACAAGATGGAAACTCCTCCTTCACCACCCAAAACCTAGCAAACCAAACACCCAGAAATACAGGAAACAGTGTACAAAATCAACGTTCTGATCCTGCATAGCATTGAACCAGAGAAAGAAAGAGCATCGCTGCACTAGTGGAGATTGATGACACCAGAAAAGATGGGAAATGCAGGCAAAGAAGAGGAGAGATGGAGATGTTCCGTTCAAAAGGAAATGCAGAAAATACGGTTGGAAGAGCTAAAATGTCATTTAGGGTTGAGGTGAAAATTCAAAGGTAAAACCAAAACCTGCTTTTTGGTCCAGCTCAGTGGATCACATGATCTTGCTACATTTTTCGTTTAAATGCAGCAAATCCACACAATCTCACCAGATCACAATCCAGAGCATGATAGGGATTGCTCAGGCTGCAATCTTACAAGTAACATCACAATTTTGACTCCCATGATTGAAAGCACTCACAAAACACCTGACTGTTACATGAAAACTGTGATACGAAGAAACATGGCAATACAAATGCTGACATAACAGGGTACCTAGCCTGAAGAATGCTTAATTGCATAGTCCAAACAACTGTGCCATATATCAATTTCAGATAGCAGCGAGTAGTGGTAAACCCTGAAAATGCTATAGCAATTTAGTAGTCAATAGCCCCGCTATTGCCCACTATTGCAGAGCAGATTCCAAGCTTGTCGCATTGCAGTTTAGTAGCGGATGTCATGCCGCGAATCACAGCCACAACAGGGAGAAATCACGGCAGCTAAATCACACAAGGAAAAAAGTCAAGTTTGTCTTCCCTTTCTGAACATTGGGATGCATTTAAGGGGGATAATATGGGATTTTGCCCCCCTTTTACATTGCTGTTTTCTGTGCTTGTCCTCCATCTCTGACAAATCAAAATCAAACCCTAGTGTAGTGCTCGCTTCGTCCTCTCATCGTTCTGCTTCATCCTCCATATCTGACGTCGTTTTCTGGTGGGTCACTATTTTAGGCTGATTTCCGATCATCTTCCTCATCTCCGACAAAACCTAAGCAATTTCCAAAGTGACAACATTTTCTGGCGATACAGAGACATTTTCTAGCAAGACCATCTGTGTTAGAGCTATTTTTCCAATGACTAACCACTCCATTTTCAGTTTTTATTCTTCGTCATGATTTTCTTCTTTGTTCCGTTTTGTTTTCCTTTCTCTGGACCCTTCTATATGACTTTAATTTGATTATTAATTTTGTATGTTTTCAACATATATATGTGTAGTATAATTTATATTAGATGTATTTCAAACTTCCAAACAGCGGTCATCTCGCTATCCAATATCCCCACTATAGTGTTTTTGGGGTCGACCACTCCATGCTGCTATCTAGAATTGACTACTATGATATCAGTAAAGTGCATAATAGGACAGCTGCTATTCTGAACTTTTTATACAGACTATATATATATATATATATAATACTCAAAATTCATGACATATTCACAATTGACAATTAGAAGTCATAATTCTTAAAGAAAACATTCATGTAAGGAGAGGGCTTACACAAAATAATGAGTTCGGGTATTAGGGATACAGATGACAAAAAACCCTCAGACTTGAGAGAATAAAAATATTTAAACAAGGAGAGCATTCAGACAAGGTAAAAAAAAAAAAACAGTGAGAACAAAAGGGAAAACAGGGCATTTGACCAGAAAAGCAAAATCAGTGGACAGAGCATGGGTTTGCCAGAACAGTGGAACACACCAAGAGTTGACCGGAAAAGACTGGGATGTGGCCGAAAAGTCATCAAAGACCAATGGCCTGATGATTCACACATTAATAGAGGAGCAGAGAAAAGAGAGTGCAAAAATCAGAAGAGGAACAGATTTTGACTTTTATCAAAAACCCTTTTGACATTTAGTTATGACATGAAAACCCCAAAATATCCCCAAACCAACATTTAAAATTTAGGGCATAAATTTTTACTTTTCTCAATGGTTTAGGAATTTTGTTTGTTAATGAAATCTTTGTTTGGAATTGGAAATCCATTTTTATTTTAGTCGTGGAAAGATATAAATCCACTCACATTTAGTTGGATTTGTTTTCAGTTTTATTGTTGTAGTTCACATTTTTCCCATATTTGTTAGGCCATTTAGTTCTTCCAAGGGTAAACAGTTGTTGGGTTTATTATGTTTTAATGATGAATATATAATTTGGTAATTTTTACAGTGCCTTATAAATCAAGAGGGCATTCTATGCCCTCTCACACGTTCAATAATTATAACAGTTAATTTTATAGTAAATATAGATAATAGATAGTGGAGGTTAGTAGTTTATTTGAAAAAAAACAAAAATATACACCAGCAACAAAGCCTATCCCATTAAGTCATGTCAACTACATTGATCAAATAACATTGAGCTCAGTCAAAACTAAATTCTCAAAAAGATATTATTTACCATGAGATCTCTTTCAATAAATCTCCTCAATATTTATTTAAAATATTGTTATAATATTGAATGAAATCTTTTAAAAATAATCAATCAAAACATAAAATTTCATAATAAATGTCATTAAAAAGTAAAAACAATCTGATAAACTTGTCATATAGAAGAAAATAGGCCCAAGAGTGGAGACCTGTTGGTGTATGCAATGTTGTCAAAATTGGGATCCTACATAGGATCAGGAGGAGGGGGGGTCCAAGATCGTAAATCATGTGATCGTAAAATCCTACTAAATCATTCAAAACTATGCTTAAACATATACATAAACATAAAAAATAACAAAAAAAATAACCTCTAAATCACATAATTTTAACTAAAACTAAACTTAAAATTCCTAGACTTAAGATCTAATACAAATCAAATAAGAAATAAAATACAAGTGCAATCACAAAGTATTGCAGAATGTCGAGCCACAACACCCAACGCCAACAAGAGAACCTCAAAAGAAGTATAGAACCAATGACAAAAAGAAGAGAAACGAAAAACGCAGGCAGCAGCACCTAGGTTGCAGAAAATGAACATAGAAATAGCACAAACAGAGGTTGCAGAAACCAAACCCAAATCTGCAAACAGCAGTAGTGCAAAGGTTGTTTCCAAATAGAAGAAGAGAGAAAACTTTGTGAGTTGTCATCGCACAAGAACAAGATATTAGAAGTCCAAAATCGGGTTAAAAACTGCCTTGGAAACGTGTCTAAAAACTGGGTTGCGAAAATCTGATCTGGAAACCTGCGTAGCGAAGATCAGATCATCGATCCTCAATCCGAAGGAGAAAAATCGGGATCCTACACAATCTTGCCGACTTTCAATCCTATTTGAGATTAAGATTGTGGGATGGGAGAAAGATTGTAGGATTGCACGATCTTGGGATTAAGATAGAGATTTTGACAACATTGGCGGTATGAGAGGAAAAAAAATAACCAAGTGTCAGCAGGTAGAAAATTCTATCGGCAAAGAGAGAGAATCATAACCAAACGGGGATGGTGGCATGGGGGAATGAGGGTGGTGGTTCAAGAATTCACGGGAGAAGAGGGGGAATAACATTAAATAAGTGAGAGAAGCAGAGGCCGCGAGGGATAGGGAAAATTCAGAGTGAGGTATTGGGAGTAGCAGCACTGGCTTGGTGACAGTATGGGTTTTCAGTTTTTTTTTTTTTTTTTCTCTTTATTCTGTGTCTTCAGTGAAATTTCCTCAGTTGAAAGGAGCTCAGCTTCTATTTCCCAATTAATAAAACACATTTTTTGCCAGCTCTATCAACTTGGTATAAGAGCATTTCACCATATATCTCAATTGCAAACAAGTGGCACAAATAGTGACACAAGTACTGTACAGTTTCACTCCAGAGGGCTACTACACAGCCAATCCACATTGGTGAAGAGGCTGCAAAGTGTGGTGAGATGTTAGCATCCAATTACAAGGTATGGGACTTCAATGCCACATTGGAAGTATGGGATTTTAGAATGGGCTTTAGGCCTTGGGATCTCCAATTGCAAAGACTAGCTTTTGTGGTGTACGTCTCCCAAGGTTCTGTTCTAATCACAAATTTACAATCCAGATTTCATATTTTTGTGACAAGTTGCAAACATGAAAATTGATTTGTAAATCAAATAAAATCATTTCCAATTTTGTATGATTCCAAACAACCTAAGAGTTAAGGTTAATTTGTAGCAATAGAAAATTGCTAGTTAGTAGTTGCACTAAATATCCTGGCTCCACTCTCTCTTTAGTGTAATTCACTTTGAATATCAAAGACTGAGTTGTTATACTCCAAAGCACTAATGGGTTCTTCAACATATAACCTTTAGTATAAAATTCAGGTGACAACTAAAATGGATAAAAAAAGGTTCCCCTACTTTTGCAAGTAAATTAATTCATAAAAGGAAGTTCTGTAGCAAAAGCAACTTAAACCATAATGATCAGAACTAACCTCTGCATGAAGTTTCTCCATGGGCATCCACTCTCCGGGACCACAGAGATCAGAGAGAACAGTAGCTACAGATGATACTACATCCTTTTCTTCCAACTGCTGAAGCTGAAGATTATCAGCATCTCGATCCACTCGAGATCTGCCTTCAGATTTCTTATCTGCATGAACCAAAGCATTAAAATGACATTACAAATCCTGAGACTATTCATGTAGAATAGAATTTAGATCCAATCCCAAAGCATACAAAATTGAGGTGACATCAATTAAGACACAAGTTAGATACAATGCATGGGTGTCCTATTATTAATTTGGGCAGCTTTTTGGTATATCTGAACGAAATTGGCTGTCTTCTATTTTGTATTTTCTTTCCTTTTATGGCAGGAATGTTTATCCTCCTTTTGTTCAACACTTCAACTATGTCTTGCTTTTAATATATTCTTTTATTGAAAAGAAAAAACAACTCCCATGTTTTAATGATTTCAATTTTCAAATACTAAACTTTTTTTTCTGTCAGTGGTATTCTCATCAGAGCGTTAAATGGGAATAAATCATTTAAATAAATCCAAATTAAAAATGATTCATAACAGAAGCATCAACTAGTATTTACGAGTTTCAAGCAGATACAATAACTTTTCCACCTCCTTACATGTTCTTTATGCTGGTTATTTTTTAGTAGAACTCAAACTCATTTATTTTAACTTACAGATTTAGTTATAGTTTTACTGCTTTAGCCAATACCTTACTTAGAAGAAGTAAAGGAAAACAGACACATATGAATATTAAATACAGCCTACATGCATTTAATCTTGCACGACAGAATCTGTCAACTACAAAATAATAAGTGCCAAATTGATCACAAGCAAGGAAACAAGGTTCAAGTTATTCAACAAATAGTTAATGAGTCAGAAACAAGGAATCTATTATAATTTAACTATAAAGCACAGTCAGTGTTAAGGTCCTATATCGGTTAAGAATATGGCCCTTAGTTACTTGGTATGATATACTCTTCAACATGCGAACACAGTATGTAACCATGGCAAATATGTGGTATGTTAGGGGTAAACAGATTTGGTACGGTAGCTGGGTTTATGGTATGTTTTAAAATATTAATTGGTCCATTATTAATATAATTTTATAAATAAAAAAAAAACACATAATATCCTTTGATTTATTATAATTTTTTTCTTTCCCAATAACCAGGTAGACTTCAAATATCACTTCCTAACCCAGTTTACATTAATTTACGAATGTTTTTACTTTGTGCTATACTGATATTATTCATTGTCAGTTTTTGTCCCCTTCGCTGGTGGACCCCAAAGGTCCAATTGCAGCTTTAAAGACCCTCCTTCCTCTTTTCTCCTTGCAAAATCAGATAAAAGGAGAGAGCCATATTTGTTGAATTTGGGAATGAAAATACCCAAAATAGCATTGTTACCGTTACGGACATTCCATGATTGCATCCACATACCATACTATTCATGCCACAGTTAACAAAACATCAGAACTCTTCAGGCAACACTGTGCTAGTCTATTTTATCTTTAAAAGCAATCAACAGAACCAAGGCTATGCTTGCCTGGAGTGAAAATGTAAGGCTGCAAATGGAAACTTTATTGTAACAAAATAAAGTCTCTGTGTTTTGCCATTTTTCATTGGAACAAGTATTGCCAAACTTGTGACAATCATACATGACAATTTACAGCAACCAAAACAACGGAGGGAGCAGAAGCACAGGAATAGAAAACACAAATTTTAATATACAACAACAATAAGATCTTATCAATACATGCACTTGAATGTATAAATGCAAAGTAATATAGCATACATATCCATTTTTATTACAAAAAATTAAATATTTGAAAATTAAGCTACTATAATGATTATACATTAACATCGAAGGATTTATATTCCATATAAATCAAACTCATGATGAGCACATCCATGAAAAACAAAAATGACTGGCTAATTGCCTATCATTTTCAATAACAGTACTACTGGTCAGTTAAGCAGATTCAACAGGCACAAGAAAAGGGACTCATGATAATTTATCCATAAAAGTAGTTGTTAAATATATGTAAATATATTATTTAGGGAGATAGTATCTGTTAAATATATTTAAATATATTATTTAGGAAAATAGTATCAATATAATTATAGTAATTAGATAACCGTATATTTTTCCTTAATTTTGTAGCTATGATTACAATTCTCATTGTCAATATAAATATACATCCCATGGTGTAGTTGAGACACAGAATTCCTCTCATGCCTTCTTGTTTTCTCCCATCTCAACATGGTATCAAGAGTCTAACAAGGAAGAAACCCTAATTCGTTGTGGGCCCACTACTCAAAGGTGTAATTTTTTTAAGAAACCGTGTGTCTCCGATTTCTGTTTTCTTTCCAGCAGCCACTGTTCACTGTCTGGCGACTTTTCCGGCCGCAGCTGTTCTTTCCAGCGACTTTTTTGGCCGTCCCTGTTCACACCGCTGGTGACTTTCGACGTGCTTTTTTTCTTTCCCTGGCTTCTCACTACCGCCGCTGCTGTTTAACTTGTTTTACCACTGTTTGGTTGTGTTTCTCTCTCTTCTAGGTTGACCCATGGCAACTTTGCTTCTCTCAACATCTCACCAACACTCTTCAATGATTTCCTTTGTTGGTATGCGAATCGTCAGGCTTTTGATTCCACTGCTTTTGTTGTGTATATGGGTAATTCTTTTATTGGTAATTCTCATTCCTCATCTCTTTTGTGCTTGATTCAGGTATCACTGATCATATTACCGGTAACAAATCCCTATTTTCCTCCCTCTCTACATTTGGGTACTTACCTTTTGTTACTATGGCCAATGGGTCTCAAATACAATCTCAAGGTGTTGGCAGTGTCTCTCTTCTTCCATCATTATCTATCGACAATGTCTTATATGTTCTTGAGTCTCTTTTTAATCTTTTATCTATAAGTCGACTCACTTGCACACTTAATTGTGTTGTCTCCTTTACTTAAGATTGTTTTTCTCCAAGATCGGATGATGGAGCAGATGATTGGCATCGGCTGTGAATCGCATGGACTTTATCAACTCCAACCGCTCACACATGCTGGTTTGGCAATGGATTCCCCTCTTATTTCGCATGCTAGGTTAGGACATCCAATTCTTTAGAAACTACAACTTTTGGACATCCAATCCTGGTTTTGTTGCTCAGGGAGAGTCTTCAGGATTAGTTGGTGACCTTCAAAAATCCTTGTATGGTCTTAAACAATCTCCAAGAGCTTGGTTTAGTAGATTCAGCATTGTTATCCAACAGTTTAGAATGATTCGAAGTGAAGCTGATCACTCAATTTTTTATCACAACTCAGCTACAAGATGCATTTACTTGGTTGAGTATGTGGACGATATTATTATCATTAGCAATGACCATCATGGCATTACACAGTTGAAAAACCACTTATGTCACCACTTTCAGATAAAAGACCTTAGAAAACTTCGATATTTCTTGGGAATAGAGGTGACACAATCCAAACATGGTATTGTAATTTTTCAAAGGAAGTATGCATAGGATATATTGGAGGAAACAGGTTTAATGGGGGCCAAATCTGTAGATACTCCTGTGGATCTTAATTTTAAACTTTTACCAAGTCACGAGGAGCCTCTTGTTGACCCAAAAGAGTATAGAGAATTGGTTGGTAAACTAAATTACCTCTTAGTTACTCAACCCGACATTTCTTTTGCTGTTAGTGTGCTAAGTCAGTTTCTCAATGCTCCCTATGAAAGACATTGGGATGTATTGATTTATATCTTGAAGTATATCAAAGGTGCTCCAGGAAAAAGTCCCCTATCTGAGGACAAGGGTCATGATAAAATTGTTAGATATTCTGATGCAGGTTATGCATACTCTCATGATAGGAGATTCATCTTTGGCTATTGTGTTTTAATTGGAAGTAATCTAATTACCTCGAAAAGTAAGAAGCAAAATGTGGTTTCTCTTTCTAGTGCAGAAGCAGAATATCGAGCCATAGCTTCAGCCACATGTGAACTTATATGGCTGAAATAACTACTTAAAGAATTAAAATTTAGAGAAGATACACAAATGATACTCATTTGTGACAACTAGGAAGCCTTACACATTGCTTCGAATCCAGTCTTTTACGAACAAACAAAGCATATTGAGATTGATTGTCACTTCCTTCATAAAAAGATCTTATCCGAAGTTATCGCCACAAATTTTGTCAATTCAAATAATCAACTGGCAGATGTATTCACAAAGTCTTTAAGGAGATCTCGTATTCAATATATTTGTGATAAGCTCAGTGCATATGATTTATATGCTCTAGCTTGAGAGAGTGTTAAATATATGTAAATATATTATTTAGGAAATATCTGTTAAATATATTTAAATATATTAGTTAGGGAAATAGTATCCATATAATTATAATAATTAGGTAACAGTATATTTGTCCTTAATTTTGTAGTAATGATTACGATTCTCGTTATCAATATAAATATAAATCCCGTGGTGTAGTTGAGACACACGGAATTCCTCTCATGCCTTCTTGTTTTCTCTCATCTCAACAGTAGTAAATAGTGAAAAAAGTAATTATTAATTCATCAGCATCATAGTTGTCAAACAGGGGATGTGGAGACTAGAAACAAGAAATTGTCACAAGGAATGCAAGATCCTATCTTAATAACAAAAATTTAATGAACAGTAAGACACACATTGAGTAAAACAGAAATAGGTAAAATATCTTAAACTACAACTAACATTAAATAAATTATAATTCATGATAGAATATTTGAAAATCCGGGGGAAACTTTTAATGTGGCAATTGGACAAAAACAACAGAAACAATGAATGTCATTGCCAAAATATTGTCCTTATCAGCACTAGTGTCTTTATTCTAAATATTGTCATTGCCAAAATCAACCCAGTCCAAAGTACCAAGAAACTGAGAGAAAAAAATGCAATGCCCAGAAATAGGGGACTGCAGCAGGACCCAGTCCTCACAGTGCCCAAGTTGCAGCTTCATAGTCCAAACATTCAGTTGGCAGTGACAAAACCAAAGTACAGACTTACAGCTGAGGCTTGTCACAGTTTGTATCAGTCTCAGGCAATGGTTATTTCTGGGTTAATTTCTGCCACCCTCTAAAATAGATGGAGGGTTAATTTTGGTGGGTTTTCTCTGGGATTTTGGTAGGATTCCTGTTAGATTTGGTGCATCATATAGGATTGATGGACCTCACAATCGCACCAAGTTCACATTACAATACACAATGCCATCATGATCCCAGAGACACAAGTTCTGAGCTAGCATCAAGATCTGACAAGCTTGCAAAACACATAGAATCATGCATAACAAAATAGCTTGCACTGTTTATGACTATGATCTGCACATTCACCACTTTATATCTATTCAATTTATTTAAAAGCTATAGCATATTTGTTATAGTGAAAACACACTTGAAACAATAGATGGCTTATAGGGTTATAGCAAATAATGGCAAGTGTAGCACATTTATTTTGAAATATGATACTGGTTATATATATATATATATATATATAAGAAATATGACATTTAATATTATTTGAAGTCAGAGTTATTAAAAAAAAACGGCCATGGTCGCACGATGGCGGATGTTGCTGGCTGTTTTCACCCAAACTGCCACAACCATGGCAGAAAACAGCAGTTTATGATGGTGACGCCATGGCAGAAATGGCGGTTTTTTAGAGGAAAAAAGAGTTGGGCTCTGACCCAACCCGTTCCAAAGTGACACGCAAACTCAACCCTAGAAACTTATTTCTTCTTCCTTTCATGCAACTCACCTCTCTCTCTCTCTTCTTCGTCCTCACTTCTTCATTCTCAGCATCTCCGCCCTTCCTCGAGGACACTGTAGCAGTGGAAATTGCAGCTTTTGCACACTTCTTGGTCAGTTACTATTGTGAGATTTTACGAAAAACCCAAAAATGTCCTAAATTGTTAACGTTGCAAAACCATGTATCAGGAAATATTTTGGGTGAAATTAAAAAAAAGCTTTAAATGGGTTTAAAAGAATTAATCCAGTCTCTGCATTTTTGCACCTTTTCTCTGACCCTTTAGTACTGTGCGACCCATCAACCTACTACCCTCTTGGGTCATTTTTCGTGAACTACTGGTGTTATCCAGCCAATTTCTCGTTTTTTGGCAAACCACTGTTCTCTGACCCTTGTTCTACATTTTTTGCCAAGTGCTCTGTTTTTCTTCTTTTATGTTTTGCAATTGTTCGGCAAGTTGTTCTTCTCTCATTGTCCATTTCTTTTTTTGTTCTTAGCTGCCATGTGCTCTGTTTTGCTATAGGTTTCAGTTTCCAGCTACTTTGTTCTTTTCTTTATTTATTTATTTTGTATAAGTCTCTCCTCATTCGGTTCTAATTTTATTTGGCTTTCAATGTTTTGATACTTTAAAAGCATTGAGTTAGAGGCTAAAACTTGTTTATTTCCTTGACTTTTATTGTTATATACTGAAATTTATTGTCTAAACCTCTTTATATCAGCTTTCCTTGACATTCCTTCTTTTTTATTTCTCAAACCGTTTTTCTCTTCTTGGTTTTATATCACATTCTGCAGGTTATATATATAAATTTATTATGACCACCATGCTTCTGCCGTGGCATCCACCATAATTTTATGGTAGTTTTTTGGCTGTTTGCCCTCCGCCATTAATAATATTGTTTGAAATACAGCAATATCCTCATATGACATGAAAATGAGTATGTCTTGGACCTTAACATGAAACAGTGAGGAGGAAAATCAAACAATAAAAGTAGAGTTGTCAATTCAAGCTACCTACTCGACCGACCCACATCCGGTGGTGGGCCAATGCAGGCCAGGCTAAAATGGCCGAAAACAATTCGAGATTTTAAAATGATAACCCAAGCCCAGACTTTTGTTGGTAGCAAGCTTATGCACATTAAAATCTAATTTAACATAAATTAAAGTATAATTTAACGTACATTTACAATATTTTTAAGCACATTAAAATTTTAAACATCAGATATCTATTCAACATTTCAACACATTTAAAACAAATATTCTAACTAGTTTCTCAATTATTTAAACCTACTTTAGGAAGTTTTGTATCTTCAATTGCAATGACCTTACTGTCAACATTGTCATCATCCTCATTATCATAATCTAGAATTAATATAGATTATGTTAATAAGTTCTAAAATAAAATAAATTAATAATTTTAATTTAATGTAAATGTTAGCTAAAAAAAGAGCATATTCACTTTAAAAAAAAAAAAAAAACAACGCAAGCTGCAGGCTAGCCTGCATGGATTCAGATTTCAGACCTAAATAGGTCAAACTAAAAAGGCAGGTCTCCAATTCTAATGCCCAAACCCTTATATATTTTGGGTATTTTTAGGTCAATCCATCAGGTAAGCCATTTTGTCAGCTCGACTAAAAAGTGATAGCATAAGCTTAGAATGTGTCATGTATATTGTAAACCAAAAATATCCAAATACAACTTGGGATAGTCATTTTAAGCCATATGGTTGGGCATACCATATCCCTCAATTAGTAATGCCCCAGAGATTGACATTTATATTTATTTTAGCAACATCTAATTCCTAGCAGTGTAGCCCTTAAAATATTGAAAATTGCCAGACATAACCCAAGTTCAAACTCATATCATAACTGTGAAGTTCAATTATGGCTTCAAATGGTGAGGGGCTAAAATATGTTATCAGAGTATCACCGTGCTAGAAACATTGAAGATGATGTGGTAAATTCATAGTGTATACACCACCAGAAGTACATGCTAAACTTTATATTCCACATCCTCACTATTTTTTCATGTACTGCATGTAAAGAATTCACTAACAAGCAGACATAAATGCCCTCTCCGTGGAGACATAAAAGTTGCACCATCCTTTAACAAATTGGACGCATTTAGAGGGGAACTCAAGATAGTAAACAGAAACAATATACATATCATACCACACTCACTACATCCAAGAAAACAATTAACAAATCACCAAAGAAGCAGATAAATCCCATACAGGCTACAGCCAATAGAAATTTCTAAATGATACAGTAAAACTTATCACAATCCAAATTCGAGAACAACATCAGCAAGATCTGTTAAGCTTATATGAAGATGAAAACCAAAGATTCGGCTCATACAGTGTCTACGTTCAACTTAAATAAACTTCAAAAGAATAGCCTTGTCAATGCGACAAAAGTTCATATGCATTTTCTGTTAACGAAGAAACAGCCTTCATCAATCATAGTCAAAACCAAATGAGTTGATTTAAAACAAAAATTAAAACAATCTAAAAGACAACACGCTCATAAAGCAAATTCTATAGCAAAACGCTTGAACAACACCAAAACAGTACAACCATTTATCAAAATTCAAATACCATAACGAGACTCAAAATCAAATACACAATTCCCAAGAGTAATATAACATTATAGACTCGAATTCACAGTGAACCGTATGCATACAGCGTCATATATACTATCCAAGAGATTATTTAAACTCAAAACAAGTACACACTACAAAATTAAACGGTGGATATATCATTACGAGCATGGTTCAATTCCAAAAGCCTCATCCTTTCAATAAACAAAAAAAACGCAATTACAACAATCACAAAAACACTAACCCATAGGTCCGGGCAGAGAAGACTTGGCACCAGAATAGCCATAACCATCATACCCATCCCTCCGTATGCTCTTCCCACCACCACCGACATCATCCTCATCATCAAACTCTTCCTCATAGTAATCCCTCCTAGACTTCTTCACAAGGGAACCAGACCCAGGGGCCAAATGGTAATTATAATGCGAGCCTGGCATAACAGGCCCAGGGCCCGGATGGTTAGGGTAGTGACGTGGGCCGAGAGGTCCACCCAAGATACTACGAACCGGCAAGAGGAAGTAAAACTCTTTATCACCGATTTGAAGGAGATCTTGGGAATCGAGCTTAACCGGAGGGTTACCGGGAAGGTGGAGAACGCCCTCGACGAGGCAACCATTTTTGCCGAGGACTTCGAGGGCGAAACGGCGTCGTGCGAAGTCGTAGAAGATGCGGGCGTGGTGGCGCGAGATGTTCATGCCACCGCCGAGGCTGGAGAGGTCGACATCGACGGTAGATTTCTTGGAGTTGCGGCCGAGGACAATGGAGTAGGTCTGCATGTAGTATTCGAAGTCCTCGCCTTGAAGCTTCGCGAAGCCTGCTTCCACGTCGCCACCCGCTGTCGCGGTTCCCATGGCTGCACAACCAGAATGAAACCAGAGGAATTGGAATTGGCGAGAAGCAGAGGTAGAGGGTTTCGATCCCAGAGAGAAAGGGCAAACCCGTGAAAGGGGACTGCTGAATGGAATGAAACTTTAATTTGATTCTCTCTGCTGGGAGGAAAGCTTGGGAAAAGAAAAAAACAACTTACAAATTTAGTTTATTCAGTCCTGTTTCATTTAGTTTTATTTTTTAGTTTTTAAAAATTATATTTTAAAACAATTTTATAAAACTGTTTTTAAGAAGAGAACTTGGTAATTTAGTTCTCAAAATTATTTTTAAGATAAAAATAAAAAACCTTGTTTGATAAAATTGTTTTTAAAAATAAATCTTAAAAACTAAAAAAATAAAATGTATTTAGTTTTATTTTTTTTATTTAGTATTTTATATTAAATAAATATATATATATATATATATTTAATTTTAATATTTTTTATTTAATCAAATATATTTTTATATTTAAAAATATTGAATTAAAAAATTATTAAAATATCAAAATTTAATATTAAATTAAAATAATACTTATAATACTAAGCATTTTGTAAATTATGAAATTATAAAATAAATTAATATCAAATTAAAAAAATAATTATTAATAAAAAAATAAATAATATAAATAGATAAATCTTGCAATGTATGTATATTAAAAATAAATCTTGCAATGTATGTATAACTATTTGTAATTGTATATGTATAAACTAATACTAATTAGTTGCTACATTGTATTTGTACAAAATAAATTAATATTAAATTAAAAATTAATGATTAACTTTAATATTAAAATAATTTTTAATAAAAAATATAAATAGTATAAATAAATAATATCACAAAAAAATAAATAACTCTAATACAATAAAACAAGTGAATATGTATATTAAGAATAAATCATGTAATATATATATAACTATTTGTAATTGTATAATTATAAACTAATATTAACTAGTTGTCACATCAAATAAATTAATATTAAATTAAAAAATAATGATTAATTTTAATATTAAAATAATTTTTAATAAAAAATATAAATAGTATGAATAGGTAATATCACAAAAAAAAATAAAGGTAAATAACGTTGATATAATAAAACAAGTGAATATGTATATTAAGGATAAATATGTAACATATGTATAATTATTTGCAACTGTATATGTATAAATTAATACTAACTAGTTGTTAGATTCTATCCACATATGATTTGTAATATGATCCCTAAGTATTGTCATCTCAGCGACTAAATTATAATCATTGGAGCTAGTTTCTTATATACTCGAACCTCTGATCTCATGCTCAATTTTGATAAGATCCATTTTTTTTCCATATCCTGAATAAATCATCATTCAAATTTCACTTCCATATGTAATTATAAATAGCACAACATGCTGCTACTATGAGTTGTTGCCTAAAAGGTTTATATGGAGGCATCAACTTTAAAATAAAAAACTTGTTTTTCAAGATTGCAAAGCAATGCTTGATTGTTATTTTCAAAGAAGAGTGTCTGTAGTTGAATAACTTTATAAGACTCCTTAATTGTCTGACTTGGCCTCCATATTCATGTGCATGATACATTTCTTCCCTAAGAGGGAAGAAAACCTCCCGTACATAGATAGCCAACATCAATAAGATAGAACAAACTTACATTACATAGAATATATATTTATGAATATTTTTTCATTAATTAAAAACAGTTGAGTTATAATATAAGTACTCACCTTTAGATGGTCATAGAAAATTTGCATTTGGGTTGGTAAGTGCGCAAAAAAAAAACTTTTGAATTATGTGCACTTCTTTCCCATCTAGAATACACAAATGTAAACATCATATTAAAATCACAAGCACACATAACATTCTGCGTGATAGTTGTCTTTCTATCTCTACATGCAATTTGTTTTTTAGCAGAAACTCGTGCACTTATATGAGTGCCATCAATTGCACCTATGCAGTTCTATAACAATAACCCAAAATAAAAAATTAAAACAAGATAGAATAAAAGAATAAAATGAGAACTAATTAAAATAACAAATAAGTATTACATACATACCTTGAACTAAGGATAATATTTTGACTCATTTCTAATCTTGCTTGGCAATTCTATAGATTCTTATTTTAGTAGATTTTTTCTCAACAAACACACTACTCTTAATACTTGCTTAAAATAACAAGAAACTATTTCTATTGAATGTTGAAAGCTATCTGAAGCAACTCTATAGCAAACATTCTGGCCAATTATAAATAAAAACATAGCAACCTTCTCTTCAAGAAGAACATTCCTTGAGTCACTTAAGTAACTCTTTGCCCTTAACTCATCACAAAATTTAACAAAGCAGTCCTACTTCATTTGAAGTAACTCAAAGCAAGTTACTCCATATCCATTTAATAACTCTTGAGTATAATCATAACCACTCAATGCAGATGTTCGAACCTTTCTTTTGTTCAGAAATCTATGATCATTATCATAAAGCATATTAATTAAGAGAAACTCAGCTAACTCATAATCACTTGACTCAGAAGAAGAATCATCACTTTTATCAATATCCATTATGATTATAACTTGTCATATAATTTCACAAAATAAAAATGATAAAAAAGATATTCAATGAAAATTATATAATAAAAGTGAAATAACATAACATAAAATTCAAAGTACTTCATAAAAATACACAAATAAATGTTCACCACACATTAAATCATAGATGTCTAAAGTTTTATCCTTAAAAGCCTAAATAACCATGCTTGTTTCCTATTAATAGACATAGTAAGAAACATTTCCCTCCAATCAAGCTTCCTAAATTTTTCTAAGGCTTTTACATAAATGTCATATGGTATGCCTTCAATCTCTTTGAGGGCAGCCCCACACTTAGTAATAGAATGATCTGGTGTAACAAGTGAAGAAGTAGCCTCAATTCTCAATCTCTTCAAGGGTAGCCACATACTTAGTAGTAGAATGATCTGGTGTAACAAGTGAAGCAGTAGCCTCCATACTCCTAGCCTTATACTTCTCAGTTTTTGCTTTAGATGCTTCAGTCCATGCTGCAAGTGCCTCTCTCTTTTGTAATGTCCTAGACTTGTGCTCTTTTACTTGAATTTTGCATTTTCCACTACGTGTGATGTGCTCCACTTCTATTGTGTTATCATCTGAGTTATTGTTATCAACATTTACACAACTTCCATTATTGAGGTATTGACTTTCAAGCTCATTTTCTTCATTAGTATTTGGTGGATCTTGGGTAGATGAATGATGAAGTACTCTAGTTGCAATACTTCTATTGAATATCATTCTTAATAACGTATAATAGTCACATTCTTTCTTTTGAAATTGAGCAGCTTTATCATATACCTAAAATAATATAAGCAAATAGTCAATACACTATTAATTATTGAACACTAAATAAATAAAAATAAAAATATTAACTATTAAATTAATTCATACCCGTAGATAATTTTTTCATACTTCACTTGTAATGACAATGTTGGTTTCGACATTCCATCCAAATCTAATTTGTTACAAAAGTAAAGAAAATTTACGATAAATAGTTCATAGCCTACTATTTGTTATGAAATTTAACTTCATAGTCATCGAATTCCATGTTATAGAGTGAAACACACCATTTGTCATGTTTTTTTTGTGGTTTCATCAACCATAATATCAATGAAAGCCTTAACAATAGAGTCAGGCCAAAGTTTTGACTCATTGTTATCAACATTAGTTATAATCTATCACAAAGGAATATTAAAAATAAGTAAACATCAATGTGTATAAAACCAAATAAAAATTAAATAAAAGAGGGTAAATATTGATCAAAGACATAAACACAAATTAATTTATATTATAACATTCTTAAATTAGAAGAAAATACAGAGCTGAAGAAGAAGGTATTTAATAAAAAAAACACATTCTATAATTCAAGAATCTGTTATTCATCTTTTCATAAATACATATGCTTGCCTAATAAAAGCATATAAAATGAGCAAGTGTAGGTTCAGGCACTTAACATATCAAATAGATGATTCACTCATTTATTAGTCTTAGTTCTATTATACTAGAAGCTAAAGGCTTCAAGTTTTCTTTAAGCTAAACCTGTAAGTAATAAATTTTATGCAATAAAGATATAAACAATTATGCCTCGTGTTGTTTTATGTAGTTTTTATATTTGTCATGATCAATTAAATAGAATTCAAAACACAACCACCTATTCTACCTTTAATAAGCAATTGACAATGCATGTGACACAAATAGAAAAAGGGAAACTTCACAATCATTTCTCCACCCCTACTAGTCCATGTGATCGGTGATCCAAAGTATATTTTTAAGTTATTATGACTTATGTCTTTCTCCCTCCTTTGCATTGGCATATACTATGATTTTGTGTGATTGTGCTTTATAAATTGTATCTGTTAAGAGATTCTATTACATGTGAATGATAATTTTCACCTGAGTCATTTGTATAAAACTAATTTTACTATATTATTTCTGTAATCTTGATTTGGTCTTCCTGTAAATTCTCCACGGCACTTGTTCTTTATAAGTTTTATTGATGTGTTTAAATATAATGTAAATTTTACTATATATATATATATATATATATATATATATTACATTTGGATATACTAATCTACTAAATATAATGTAAATATATTTTAATTTAAGTTAAGAAATATATTAATAATAAGAAAAACACTGTAATTATCTAGTGTTGCCTAATGTAGTTATTAGTAGGGTCTGTATTTATTTTATTTCCTTATAGTTTCATTCATCTAAACAAAAAAATGTACTCTTGCATTATGTACATCCATAGTCCATGGATTCTTCATTTTGCTTGCAAGGCTCCAACACTTGCAAAATTCTATTGGAATCCATATCTTAACACTCCTATTTCTAATTCAAAAGGCATATAACATCACATACACATGGTCAATAAATACACTCTCTTTATATGAAAGAGTAGAAGTTCACAACATGCATGTACTCGATATACACGTTATATGATACATATATACACATGATGCAATCAACTTTTCTATGCACATCAATTATCTGTTTCTACATTCTGTTTCAGCGCCTAGTCTTTAAATTACAAGATAAACACATGTATAGCAATTTCCATCATCCACTCAAGGAATTTATAAATAT